GAGTGCAACACAGTCTTCCAAATTTTCATTCCCTCTTGCAGCAGTATTAGAAAGAGTTTAGTGAATTCGAGAAATTTAACTTCATAGAAAACTGTATTAAGAAAAAGATTTTATAAATTTCAACCACCAGTAACTAACTGTTCAGTTAATGAATACCAAATGTTTCCTGTATGGAAATGGCTAATTTCACCATTAACATTTGTCTAGGGGCCAGACTAAATTTCACAAAAAAAAAAAAAAAAATGTAAAATTAAGGATACAGGCTAATCTCTGCAGCAAACACAGAGGAACTCCTGTATTTTTGACAAGTACTCTTATCAAGAAGGCCTTGTACATTAAATAATAGCATCTACATTATTTCTCCTCACTGGGCTTGCAAGTGGCACTTTTGCAACATTTCCCAAGTGATATGGGCTATATGTAGTTTAAAAGTAGAAAATCTCATGATTTCAGAAATGATCTAATTTTGTCCTAACTCCAAGTATTTGTTAATCTATGATTGAATTTAATCAAAACTAGACACCCTTTACAAGATCTGGGAGACACTCAAGGTAGAGGATTACATTAGGAGGCAATTTGTGTATAGGTGAGGGTTATAGCGATTAATCCTAGCTTATAGGTTAAGATTGTAGTGATCGGGGAAAGATCACAGAAGTGGTTCATGAGAAGAAGATTGAAACTTACTTCTCACTGATGGAATATGGAGGGAATGTGGGTGATTTGCTAGTATGTAAGTGCCATGGCATGTTCTTGCCATGAAGGTTTGACTTGGCGGTAACAGGGAATGCAGTTTGTCTGAGCACATTCCATGGAAGTAGTGGTATAGCAGCAAGAGGCTACACATCACGCTTGTGGGAGAGGGGTTGAAGGGTGGAGAATAATTCGTCATCCACAAGATCTCAGAGATGCTTTTGAACTCTATCAAAGGTAGAGTGTGAGGTCTTGGCAGATCCTGCCCAGATATGACAACAGTACTCCATTTTTTGGCCTGATCTGGCTCTTGTAAAGTTAAAGGATAGCAGGAAGAGTCAGGTAGTTACTGGAGTGGTACAGGGAGCTGACCATTTTACCAGCATCCTTAGCAATGGATTGTATGTATAGGTTCCACTTGAGGCTGAGTGTGTTTGAGGCCCAACAGTCTTTCAAAGCATGGTGCTTCCCCAAGTTGAACTCTATTCATCTTGATTGGTGGTAGTTTGGGGTCAGATCAGTGATGTATGGGACTTAACTAGCTTGGTCTTCGAGGCACTGAATGTAACCAGCCAGTTTTTAAAAAAAAAAAAAAAAAAAAAAAAAAAAGGTTTGGTCTGAGGAGTGACACCTGTGGAATGCCTGCGTTTACCGCTAGGGCATTGGAGGACTGGCCATTCATAACTACCTTCAGGGACCTACTTGTTAGGAAGGATTTTATCATCAAGAAGACCCTTCCAGTGATTCCATAATTGAAGAGCTTGTGTAGTAAACCTTTATGCCACACCTTGTCAGTTAATCATATACTTTATATTATCAGTTCCGTATAATGACTTTTTCTGCATTTTTTGTGAGGAAAGTCATTGGAATTTTGTTGAAATGAATGTTATAAGTTATACTCTTAAAAAAAATGACCTTTATCAAGTGGATTTTGGGGCCCCACAACACAAAATTAAATTAACACATTTTTTTGCTTTTTTGTCTCCAAGCTCCCTGCCTTTCATTAACACTATTAAAAAAATGCCCAGGACAATTTTTCTTTTTTTTTTTTTTTTTTTATTTATTTTGGTGTAAATCCTCAAATATTTAAAGAACATAAATCTGTAAAATGTAAGGAAATTATTATCAGAAAGATATTTAACATATAATCAGTTGCTTTCATATGTTAATTTGGTTATTAATCACTTTTGGTATTGTGTATTGGGCACCAACTATCAGTTTTCAACACAACTTGCTATGTATTTATCAGAAAATACAAATCTAGGCCTCTGTTCCTATGGTATTCTCAGCATCCTTCTATAGAACCACATTCCTGTCGCTTCAAGTCTCTTCATCTTTGAGGAGAAGCATTTACTGCCATTTAAGAGGACTGATATTATGTAGCAGTTCAGTACTCTTTTTTTTTAAAATTTCTAATGAAATTTTTCTGTCTCATAATACTTTGCTTAAGTTTTGGAAGGAATATTTTGCTATCCTAATGTGCTTTCCATCTTCTGTTAAAACAATTCTCAGAGGACAGTGTTAGTAAAAAAAATTTCTAAGTTCCTGTGGAACCTATGTTTTTTTTTTTTTGACTGAAGCAATGAAGAACTGAGTAAACTTCCAAAATGATTCTAAGACTTTCTTTAATATTCTTAAAAAAAAAAAAAAACAATGTGGGAAACTTTTGCACTAACAATCTCACTCCCTAAGACATTTTTTTTTAATCATTTCACCCCAAGCAAGTCAATAATGCCACTAGAATGCAGCGGTTTACAGGGAGTGAAAGAGAATAAGAAGATTTTAGTGGGGAGGATTGAGGAATGGATAATAAAGCAACAGGATTCAGGAAAATAGAAGATGTTGATTGATGTTGCATTTAAATTTTTGAAGATTGTATTTATCAGGGAAGCAAGAAACTGGAAGGGAGTTTCACAGGTGAGAAGTGCCAGAGAAGAAGCCAGGAGAGTACAATTGACGGTTGCATCTAGCTAATTCAACAGTAATACTATAACACCCAGGTGCCAATCTAGTAGCATGCTTAAATTCATGTAGATGAGACACCAGGGAAAAAAGCTCATCAGAGCAGTTGCCAGGAAAATATTTGTAGTAAAGTCAGAGGGAAGGCACGCCATGTCAGTGAGAAAGTGAATGAAGTTGAGATGCTTGGTCAGACTATTATTTGAATTTTGTCAAGAATCTCAAGATATACAGCAGGAGCACTGGACCAGATATGGCAGCAGTATTCAATGCACAGACAAATGGTAGATCTATAAATGGGCAAGATTGATTCTGGTGAGAAATATTTTTTGACAAAAGTATGAACCAACTTTCGTAACAGTAGATGTAACAATAGATTCAATATAGTTGCTCCACTCCATGTCAACGGAAAGTGTGAGCCCAAGAAGTCATGGAATGTTGCTTTCCTGGAGTTTAGTATCAGCCATGCTCATGGCAGGCAGAAAAAGTTCTATGTAGTAATTAAATGAAAGAAGTTTTGTCTTGGAGGGGTTAAAATTTACAAGCTATTTCTTACTCCAGTTAACTACTGATTGGCTGTCCTTTTCTAGAGAAATTGACATGTTTACTTTCTCAGGTCTGACAGAATTGCTACTAAGACAGGAGTAAATGGTTGTGTCATATGTATAAATACGTAGTTGGGAACTATAGCATCAGGGAGATCATTGATGAAAATCAGAAACAGTGTAGGTCCAAGGTTAGAGCCTTGGAGGGCATTAGTACAAAATAATCTGGAAGCATGCCCGTTCAACATAATTTGTTAGGAATGATTGGATTAAGCCAAGTATTCGTCTTGTGACACCATAGTTCTTGAATGTGCAGAGAAGGCCAGCATGCCAAACGCCTTTGAGATATTTAGAGCCAAAGCCTGAGCTTTGCCATTCTTATCTAAATCTTGATAGACAAATTCAGTGATGGCCATTAACACATTGGCGGGAGACCTCATGAAACGGAAGCCATGTTGCTTGTCTGAAAGAAGGATGTATGAAGTAAGATGCTTAACTAATTTGGCTTTGATTAGAGCCTCAAGTACTTTGCCAAAATAGGTAAGAGATTAATAGGATGATAATTTGAAGGGTCAGAAGGTTACCTAGAATTCTTACAAACAGGAACTACAGATGAAGACTTCCAACAAGCTGGAAAGCAGGAAGCTGTGAGGCATTTGTTGTAAAATTTGAAGAGAACAGGAACCAGCTCAGGAGCACATTTTTTTAGGGTGACGGCAGGGATTCAGCCACATCTGTTTGCCTTGTGGAGATCTAATTTAGAAATGATATCAGAAACCAATGACAGTGGTATACGCATATTACTCAGTAGAAACTGTTCTAGGGGGGAAATCTGATAAGAGAGATACTCCAGATGAATAGAATAGAGTTGGAAGAGAACTTCCAAACAAAGCACACTGCCTTATCTGCAGTAGATGTTAATATTTCAAATTATTTGAAGAGAGGAGGGACTGAGGATTTGCTATTATTCAGCACACTCTTGCAGAGCCACCAGTAATCTCTACGACAAAACTTTTATGAGATTATATAGTATCTGATTATATCAACAAATAGTAACTTAACTTCTTTGAGGACACGCTTGCATTCATTACGAGCAATGGCAAAGAGATGTCTGTTAAAATCAAACTTATTGCTCTAGTATAGGTGATTCCTGTGGGATATATCAGTTGAGCAAGGAGGTGAGAACCAAAAAGATGATTGTGGTTCCACTTGGTATTTTCAAGCTTGAATGAAAGCTTCGATGTCGGATTTCACCCAGGAAGAGACCTCAGTGGCACATTTCTGAACAGGATGATTAAAAATTTAATTCCAAGGAGCAGTGCAAAGGAAATCATGAAATGAGGAGATCCGTAACTAATGGGAGAGTGGAAAGAGATATCTATAGACACTATTGCATGAAGAAGTTTATTATTTGAGTGAGAGATTTAGTAATGGAGATGTTCCTTAATTACAGTGATTAAGCTACATGATATGGTAGGCACGGAAGTCGCCAAACACAAAGATATCTGCAGGTGTAGAGAGAGTGCCTTATCTATGCAACAGTCATGAGAAGAAGGGGAATGCTAAAAGAAGAGATAGCTAACCAAGTTTAGTAGTGATGGTCAGAAGCACATGTAAGAACAATCCAGAAACTCAAGTGATGAGTTCCCTCGCCAGTGAAAGATGTTCCCGAACATAGACATTGAGGCCATGCACGTGGACACTAGAGTTATTCCTGAAAGAGAGGAAGATTTACAAAAACAAACTCTTTTTTTACCATAATACATTAAAAATATCTACAAAGAGAAATAAAAAAGATGGCATTACCTTGATGTGGTAGCATTGTATTCATTGAAAATAGGCGGAGTTGGTGCTTTAGAAACATGATTTCTTCCTACCCTGTAACCTTGGCCAAGGACTAACAAATCTTTGTTTTTGTCGAACATTTCCTCAAAGTAATCTTTTCCTTTACCCAAACTTCTACTTTCAAGGAAAGCAGTTGTGTCGCTTCGATTAGCTGAAATAGAGGAAAAGTAATGATGTCATTTTGCACCCATAAAAAAAATAAAATAAATGTATTTTTTAGTGTAAAATGCAAACAGTATCTGTCTATATTTCTGAGATGAGGTATTATGTACACTATTTACATTATTCGGACTATTGTCCTCACCTTTGTCACCATATTTATTACAACGTATTGGCCGTTGTACGCTCCGGCCTTCTTCAGGTGGTTGGAATGTCGAACTGAACCCTTTATTTCGCTCACTAGGGTAGACTGTTATAGTTCCATGTGCCATGTTTAATGGATATCAGTTATGTTAATTCACCTCTCCAAGTTCTCCTGGTATTGAACTCACAACTCTTTGGGTCCTGTCACTGGATCTAACCAACACCTTTATCCACTGTGCCATGTGTCTTTGAGAACACATGGCACAGTGGATAAAGGCATTATTTAGATTCAGTGACAGGACCCACCTGAAGAAGGCTGGAGTGTACAACGTCCGAAACATTGTAATAAATATGGCGACAAAGATGAGGACAATAGTTTGAATAATGTAAATAGTGTAAAATGCAAACAGTTTTCAGAAGAGTGAATAGTTCCAACTCTCTTCCAAGTATCTTAGGAAAAGTGACAACAAAAGTGACAAATACTTTTTGGACAACTGAAGATGTCATTTGCATACTTTCTGTTGTTTACACATTATTTACGGCTGATCCAATCTTCAGCTTTCATACCTATGCTGTGAATGCCTATTGGGACTTAAGCTTAACTCAGATCTTAAGTGGAACTCCAGTAAGTACCTAACTCCTCCTACTATCTTTTACCTGTATAAGAACCAAATCAGGTCAGAAATGGAATACTGCTACCATATATGGGCAGGAGGTGCACAGTCTTAAATTTCCAATCTTGATAGACTCCAAAAGTGTCTCTGCATGGTTGTGGGTGATGAATTATTTTCCACTTTACCACCTCCTTTCCTACAAATGAAATATGGTAAGCCCCTCTCTATCGCTATTTTCATCAAAAGTGTTCAAATGAAATGCATTCCTTATTTCCACCAGCTCTAACCACTACACACACTGTATCAAGCTATCCTAATTTCCTTTGTATTCCATTAGGGAAATGTAAGTTCCACTTGAGCAGCTTCTTCCCATGAACCATTGCTTTGTGGAACTGACTCCCAAGAGGATACTTCTCTGATCACTACAATCTTAACCTGTTCAAATCTAGAGTTAACCGTTATCTTCCCTACATAACCCCATAAACTATGCCTCTTACTCTTTAACCCTCTACTTTGAGTGGCTCTTGGGCCTTATACAGGGTGAACATTATTGTAAAAAGAAAAATATTCTGTGAGAACAAAGTAAACATTTTCCTTTGTGTGTTGATTTCAATCAGAGTGGGAATGATTGCAGAACACTTGCCACTCCCCTTTTATAGGCAAAAGCACACAAATGCATGCTGGGATTTTTTCCTTAGCCGAAGGGCAGAGTCATATCTGGGGAGGTAGACAGACCCGACCCTGTGTATGTGGGACCTACAGGGAAGTTTTGCTTGAGCTTAAAGGCTTGAAATTGCCCCACATAAAAAACGGCCTCATGCCACATCCTGCCTCGTGGAGAGGCTAAAGTAAATAACTTCAGTCCCAATCTGCCTTGTCTAAAAGACAGAACACTACGTTCGCTTGTCTGAACTTGCTTTCGTGTGATGACGCCAATTCATAGTTTGTGAACTCTTTGGTTTATTACTGTTAATTTGCCTTGCATATATTGTTTGCTTGCTTGTCTGATATTATTTCATTTTTGCCCTGTTCCTTTTTCCTTTTATTGTGAACTTTGTTAATTCTCTTTGTTGGACAGTTCTGTTATTTGACCATGGCTACTCACTCCACATTATAGAAAACGGCCAAATGGTGAGGAGGAGAAAAAATAGACTCACTAAAATACCAAGTAGACCAATTTGTTTCAATCACGCTAGTATCCATTCAATGCCAAATCATACATGGAGGAGTTAGCCAATGGCCATTTTGATAAGGAAAGAAGATCATACAGATTGAAATCTGTAGCACCTAGCTGTCACATCCTTTCTTAACTTTCTCACTGCCGCCAAATGATAATTCCTGGATTTTGTTCCAAAAGGGTGCAGTTATTTTTAACTCCACTTTCTTTTTTTTAATCCAAATATGATGTTAAGATATAGAAATATTTCATTAGAAACAAAGAAAGAAGTGCTGAACTACTGTCAGATTTATCTGTACGGCATTGAATGCTCGACAATTTCCTTATAAATGAAAAAGAGACTTGATGCAATGCAGATGAAGTTCTATGGATGGATACTGAGAATACTGTGGACAGAACATGTGAGAAACAAGGAAATTATAAAGAAAATGAAAACTAGAACGACAACTCATACTCAATAACATTTATAGTAATATGAAATAATGTCGAATGAATAAAAAGCCATTTAAAAATTATATGTAGACTTATATAGATATTATTTTTTTTTTTAATGTGTCTATGACAGAAGAAAGATTTCGCTAGTTTTGGGGTAGATACCAGTACCAAAGAAGAGAGAACTTCAGATCTGTGTTTTTTAGATGAAATTAATGCTGTGACTGATTCTAGTGTCACTTCTACAAAAGAAAGATTGTATCTAGTGTTTCAGTGTGCAATCTTGTTAGAGAAGGGACGTCTTTAGAAGATAGAAAACAATGATTTCTACAGAGTCAATTATTGTTGGCTTTATGTTGTCTCCAAGAATTTAATTTCTTCTTTCTTTTCTGATTGCTTCCTTTATGATGATGGTCTTGATGACTAAGTAAACCAATTCTTGCATGGAAGAGCTGATAGCATTGTTTGTATGTTGGTAGAGGATGAGGTTGATTTTGTCAAGTCTCTTTCTTGTCACTTGACAACATCTTTTCTCTTTTGGTGTTGTGTTTCAAATGATTTAGGCTCAAGTTGAGTGGCTTTTATTGCTGTTTTGAGTTGGTCCTTGTATCTTTGAAGAGGGCAACCCATAGTCCCTTCTCTGAAGTAAACTCATTGAATAAAACTTGACTTGGAAACCTTCATTCTTCCATTCTTGCTACATGGACTGACCATCGATGATGGTGTTTAATGATCAGTGTTTCGATGCTTTGACAGTAAGCTCTTTCCAAGACCTTGGTTTTAGTCACATAGCAATTCCACTTGATGTTGAATATAGACTGAAGCTTTTGATGGTAGAAGTGTTCTAGTTTTTGGATGTTGCAAAAAAATAGATACCAAGTTTCGTAACCATATAGTGAAGATGAAATGACAACAGCATTATAGACCATAATTTTTGTTGTTAAGTTCAAATCTTTGTTGCTGAAGACACAAATAAATATGTGACAAAACATGACAAATGAAACAACGGGTTTTCTTTTTTTTTTCATTAGAAGATATTTAAAAAATATTTCATTAATGGGGAAGAAGTTTTACTTAAACAACTACTTTCCCAAGAACTGTTGCATTATAGAAGAAACTCCTGAGAGGATGCTTCCAAGATCGCTACAATTATCTAGCCTACATATCATCATAATATACAAAGTCTTGCTTCTTCACTGTACATCCTTACAACAACCACATTTAGTAAACCTCTACTTGAGTGGCTCTTGGGCCTTGTATTTGAGAAATCTTCGTAAAAAAAATACACACACACAGTGATGCAAACACACAATAGGCCAAAAGTTTGGGGCCACCCTCTGCATTTAATAATTAGTAAGTTTCATAAATTCTTTGGTTTAATTAACTCCAACCAAGCTAGTATGCTGGAAGTATTTAACTCATGAGTGCATGTCATCCAATGGTTTTAAAGAAGGAGTATTACCTAAAATTGTCCTATGATTACTATTCCCCAGCAAGGTAAATTAGCCAAAAAGGAAACTTTATGTAGTAATGGGGGAATTTCATTATTATTACTGAATATATGATAAATTCCCTCTGGCTTGAAATGAGCTTGTAAATTAGTTTTGAAAAAGGCATACAACCTTCAATTTTTAGGCAATTCTTTGAAATCAGATAGTGACTCCGAAATGTTTAACCTATATTGCATGCACACATATATATAATTGATATTTTTCTGCCACATGATAAATCATAAATAGAATCAAGATATTTTACCAGGGGAAGTTGCAGCTTGAATTGGACCAACTGGTCTTGGAGTTTGGATTTTCTTAGATTCTTCAGGAACTGTAGAATTTGTCAAGGGAACCTTGCAGGTATCATTGACAGCTTCTTTAACAAGTGAAAATGAATCATTTTCCAGGTTTGGTGTAGGTGTGCTGGTTTTGGTAGCCATCCATCCATCTTGAAAAGGAGGTATGTAATTAGTATTTTCCATCATCTCTTGGTTACCATCTGGTGTTGGTTTGGAAGAGAGTAAAGATGATGAGATCTGGTCTCCAGCAACAGCCAACATGGTCTCTTCATCCTTTGTCCAGTTGCCTTTGTTCTTGGCAGACAGCCTCTGTAGTCTACAAAAGAGTAAGAGAGAGATTGGCTCACATTTGGGATTTAGAAACAATATATTGTAATCAAATTTCAATGGCCAAATACATACTGAATCTATAGAAGACAATAAATGGTTGTAGAATTCCTCTTTTTGGCACCATTTTATATGCATTTTAATTCTGATTGCCATGGAGATGGTTTTATGAAGTTTTCTCAGCATAGACACTTTTTCCATGTTTCCTACAAACGTACCAGAGACACTCATATATAAGTAGCAGTTTTATAACATGTTGGCTTCAGCCTGAGAATTCTACATAAGTCACATATTTCTTTTTGAGAATATCATTTGCAACATTGATTGCAGTTATATTGTGACACAATGGAACCCAGTCATGGCTTTGAATACCAATGAAGTAAAGTGGACTTTTTTTTTCTTAAATCAATTCACCCCAAACAAGAAAAAAATGCCACTAAGGCATAATAGTGTCTGGAAGTGAAATAGAATAAGACTTTAGAAGAGACATGTCCAAAGTCTGACCCACTGGTCAATTATGGCCTGTGGTCAAATTTCATATGGCCACCATAATCTGTCATAGAATGTATCACCATCAAAAAAGAAGGCTTGGAAAATATAACACTCACAGAATATATTGAAAGCAACAGAAGGAAACAGCATGTAACCTACTTAACAAGCTTGAGTAAATAGATGGCAGAACAGGGGTTGGGAGAGATAATGAAAATACAAATCTTACTAAGAGCTACAGAGTTTAGGAAGTTGTGGAAAGCCAAGATCTCCCACATCCACATGGTTTTGTTCAGGATCTTCAAATTATGATGCTATGTTATTGGCAGCCTTCCGAGTTGGTATCATGTCTGTAACAGACATCCATAAATATCAGTGGGTATCTCTATATATATATATATATATATATATATATTTTACAGCAAAAACAAAATTTACCTCAACATACACTGCATGCCAAATTATTATCAAGATAACTTTTTCCTAATATTTCAAAAACCGTTCAATCAATTCACACAAAATTTTCACACAATGTTGGCAACACTGACCTGCGCAATCACTGAAATTTTCATACTGATCTGCGCAATGTAAACAAACTGGCGCCATATTTGTTATCAGCATGGTGATTTGAGCATGCCAAATTATTAGAAAGGTTTAGTAAAATTCCCAGAATTGAGCAAACAAAACGTTTATTAATGTTGCACGTGAATGTTTATGATCAAAAGAAGCTAATAAATAAGATAATCAAACAAATAATAACAGATACAAACAAAGGCACAGTTTTAAACAAATTAATAGGGAATGTGCTTTCCCTGTTTTGAAATTACTTGAAGTCGATGATCCATAGAATTTGTTAATTGTAGGATGTCATCTGCTGTAATGCTGCGAGATATGTCAAGACTTGCTTCCCACAACTCAGCGTTGCTCCTGAATTGTCGTCCGTTGGCATACAGTCTTTGCTTCATAATGCTCCAAATGTTTTCGATTGGGTTCAAATCCGAAGAATTTGCTAGCCACTTCATTTTTTGAGGTCCATCAAATATTCAGTAGTCTTGTTAGCAGCATGTGAGGGAGCATTATCTTGCATAAAAACAATGGCCCTTCTGATAGCAATTCTTTGCCTTTTCATCCACGGTTCAAGATGCTCCTTCATAAACACTATGTGTGCATCAGCAGTCATTTCCAAGCCATCTGGTACTCTCCATGGGCCCACTAATGTTTTTCCAATAATAACACCCCAGATCATTATGCCTCCACTGCCTTTTTGGCGTCTCAAACGCTGATGGCGATTCTGTCCGTTCATTGCCCGGCCTTTGCACCATCTATCTGGTCCATCAAGTGTTGCTCGAGTTTCATCTGTGAACAAAACTTTAGAGAAGTCAATCTTCATATTGTCCTCGGCCATTTCAATTGATTTTGAATGTGATTTCTTGTCAACGGAGACTTCGATACAGGTTTGACTGTTGTTGCTATTTCCCTCAGATACCAACACCGAGTACTTTTAGACACAGTAGGATCCCCAATGTGACTGAAAAGCTCTTGACTGGTAAGTCCAGGGTTCTTCGTGGCCTCTCGTTTAAGTCGTGACACGAGACGACGTGAAATAACCCTCGGCTTGCCTTTATCTGCCCTTTTGCGTACTTTCATAGGGTCCGAGGTGAACTTTTTCACTGTTTGATGACACCTCCCTATCATTTTAGAAATTTCTAGGGTAGATTTACCTTTTGAGACTTCTGAGGTGATAATTTTCTTTTCAGCATCACTTAAACTGCTTTTACGGTCCATCTTTTCGCTAAATTCTTACACTTTCCTAATAATGTGGCACACTCAAATCACCATACTGATAACAAATATGGCGCCAGTTTGTTTACATTGTGCAGATCAGCACAAAAATTTCAGTGATTACGCAGGTCAGTGTTACCAACATTGTGTGAAAATTTTGTGTGAATTGATTGGACGGTTTTTGAAATATTAGAAAAAAAATTATCTTGTTAATAATTTGGCACACAGTGTAGGTATAGTCTATTTCAAACCATTCTTCACACGACTATCATCAGCCTCTAAGTGTTTGTCTTGGAGCATTGTTCTAAATTTATTTTCAAAATCAGTCCGCCTCTAGTAGTCCCCTTGTTAATGAAAGTGGGTTTGAGTTAGTGATTGGTGGGGCATAAGGTATCTTATCCTGGGGAATAGTAATAATATATATATATATATATATATATATATATATATATATATATATATATATATAGAGAGAGAGAGAGAGAGAGAGAGAGATCAACACTGAGTGGCGATAGTCTATCATTCTTGAATGCAATCTTTCAGGACATGGATTACTTAGGATATTTTTGTACAGTTTACTGATTTGTTTACTATTTCTTTATTATATATATATATATATATATATATATATATATATATATATATATATATATATATATATAACATCAATCAGCTAAGTGTCAAACTTTTACTTGTATTATATATATATATATATATATATATATATAGATAGATAGATAGATATATATATATATTATATGCACTGTATTTAGTGGGACTGAATATATATCAACAGTGTAAAGAAATTCTGATTACTTACTTTTCACCAAATCGACCATTACTTTGAAGTTAAAAAGCATTGAAATTGGACTTGTAAGTAATCAGAATTTCTTTACAGTGTTGATATATGTTCAGTCATTCTGTTAGATATTTTAAAAGTTAATTCTCAGACCAGTTATACTACTTCGGGTTTGAATAACCAGAGCGAGTAGATGGGAATTTTTTTTTTTTTCATATGGAAGAAAGGAACTTATACTAAGTTAAAAATTTATATAAAATTCTTTTTCAGGACTGGGTAACACATATATAAAATGTATGGTAAGTACTCCACAGTCAAAATGCTGGCAACTAAACTGACCTCCCCTCTCAAAGTTCTTTCGAGTGAAGTGGCTTGTTAGCAAGCCAGGAGGACAAAAAACAAGAACTAACAAAGGGCGGAAGAACTCTCTCTGAGTCAACGGCCAGCTAACTAGAGGTGGTGTCTCCATAAATCACCATGGAGAAGACAATGGGAAACCACTCCACTATCATTCCCAAGTATATTATGGCCAACAAATCACATATTATGAAACTAACAGGGTGAAGGGGGTTAAGTCTATGGAAGTTAACTCCTCGCCCGGTAAGGACAGACATGTGCAACAGTTGTCACCTGACTGTCATCCAGCGACCACTGCAAAACCTACCCAAGTGCCGACTGCGGGAGTGATCATTGCCCTGTTATACACAGACTAAGAGTAAAACTATGGAAACAGAAGAAGCCTAATGCAGTACCCAAGCTGCAGTACAACAAACTTCTGAGCAATCCGAACCTGAAAGAAAAATATATGGAAAATGTTAAAAGAATATACGAGGGACACAATGGAAACTTGAAATGGGAACATCATCAAATGAAGTCATCCCAAAAGATTACAGATGAAAAAGAAAAAAAACGAATGGATGACAGAGGAGATTCTCAAAATGATGCAAAGGAGACAGAAACCTCTACCATGATACAGAACAGAATACAGAAAATTACACAAAGAAATAAGGAACAAATGCAGACAGGCTAAAGAAGAGTGGCTAAACAAAAAATATGCAGAAGTACAGAGATTGAGTACCATCAACAAAGGAGATATGCACAAACAGATAAGGCAACTAACAGGACAGAAGACATGCTTGTCAACAGGCTGCTTAAAATCAAAGGAAGGAACACTCATATTACAGAAGGAAAAATTCTTCAACGCTGGTGCGAGTATATTGGATAACTCTTCCATGACAAAAGAGAACAACCAGCAATACACAGAACTACCAACAGACCTGAAATTCTAAAAACCAAAGTAGAAGCTGCGCTGGCAAAATTGAACGGAAACAAGGCGGCAGGGCCAGACAGAATTATAATGGAAATGCTAACAGCCTTAGATGAATTTGGTATATAGACAAATCACGGAAATAATAAATGAAATCTACAACAGTGGGGGCATACTGGAGGATCTCAGCAGATCTATTTTCATAGCACTACCTAAGAAACCAGACGCAAATGAATGTGAGCTCCACCGAACAATCTCCCTAATGTGCCACGTCGCAAAACTCATCATCCGTATTCTGATGAATAGAGCACACAGCAGAATCAGACCAGAGATAGGACAAGAACAGTTCGAGTTCGTCAAAGACACCGGAACAAAGAATGCAATATTTATGCTTAGAATGTTATCGGAAAGAGAAATACAGATGCAGAAGGATGTGTATCTATATTTTATAGACTAAGCAAAGGCATTCAACAAAGAACGCCACAAGGACCTGCTACAACTGCTCAGCAACCTTGATATATTCAGGAAAGATATCAGAATAATCAAGATCCTATACTGGCAGCAGACAGCATGCATTCGCTTCGAGAATAAGCTCAGCAAATATACAAAAATAGAAAAAGGCATAAGGTAGGGATGTGTCTTCTCACTGGAC